GATGTGCGCCATCACCATGTCCAGTTCGGGGCCATTTCCATCACTCCCTCAGGATGTTCCTTCATGCACATTTTTAAAAAACGTTTTGGGGCGGGGGGGGTTGATTGGCGTGTGTGTGTGTGTGTGTGTGTGTGTTTTAGAGACAGGGGCCTTGCTACCTTGTCTAGGATGATGGACTCAAACTCCTGGCCTCAAGTGATCCTCCCGCCTCAGCCTCTCAAGTAGCTGGGAATACAGGTGCATGCTGCCACTCTCAGCTAGGTTTTTGGCTTTTTTCGCAGAGACAAGTTCCACTATGTTGCCCAGGCTGATCTCGAACTCCTGACCACACATGGTCCTCCCGCACTGGCCTCCCACAGTGCTAAGATTAAGGTGTAAGCCACCATGCCTGGCCCAGATCTTGCTTTCATGTTTAGTCTGACAAAGAATGTCTTTTACTTGAGATATTTATTTCACTGCCATCCAACATAATTATAATCATGACTGGATCTACATTTACTTTTTTGTTACCTGTTTTCTTCATGTCTGTCTTGACTCTTCTGTTCCTTCTTGACTGCCTTCTTGGTATTAAATGTATTTTAGTGTAGCATTTAAATTTCATGTTGTTTTTTATGATAAATTTAAGTTACTTTCTTCTTTTTGAGTTGGAGTCTCCCTCTGTCAACCAGGCTGGAATGTAGTGGCAAACGCTCATGGCCACCACAGCCTTGATCTGGTAGGCTCAGGCGACCCTTCCGCCTCACCTTCCAAGTATCTAGAACTACAGGCATGTGCTACTATGCCCGGCTAATAAGTTAGTTACTTCCCTAATGGCTGTTTTAGGGATTATAATACACACCTAACTGATCACAATTTACTTCAGAGTAACGATAGCTTAATTACAAAAAAAATAGAAACTCTGTTTTATACAGGTCTTACCCCACCTCTGTTATTTTTGTCATACATATTATACATATTAACATATTATACTTATACCTGTTACAAACTGGACAACAGTATTAAATTGATTGCTTTAGTATATAATCCTGTTAAGAAATACATGAGGAAAAACATATCTGCAACATCTTTTCTATTGACCCTCACACTGACCACTCCTGGTGCTTGTCACCTTTCCTGTGGGCGCACGTCACACCTGGCATCCCCTCCTCTCACCTGGAGAATTCCTCCTGGACTCTCATGAGGCAATTGTGCTGGGAACAAATTCTCTCAGTGTTTCCTTATTTGGGAATGCCTTTGTTTTACCTTCATTTTGAAGGACAGTTTTGCTTGATGCAGACTTTTTTTTTTTTTTGAGTTCGAGTCTCATTCTGTCACCCAGACTGGAGGGCAGTGGCACGCTCGTGGCCACTCCGGCGTTGACCTGCTGGGCTCCTGCGATCCTTCTGCCTCAGCCTTCCAAGCAGCCGGAACTACAGACATGCGCTACCACGCCCGGCTAATTATTTGCTTATTTATTGTAGAGACAGGGTCTCGCCAAGTTTCCTGGGCTCAGGCAATCCACTTGCCTCGGCCTCCCAAAGTGTTGGGATGGCAGGCTGAGCCACTGAGCCCGGCCTAAATACAGAATTCTTAGTTAACATTTTCTTTTTCCTCTTAGCATTTTGAATAGGTCATTCCACTGACTGCTGGCCTCCGCTAGTTTGAGAATTTAGCCATCAACCATAATGATACTCCTCTCTGTGTATGTGTATGTGTGTAACGTTTTTAAGATTTTTCTGGATCTCTTTGTATTTATTTTACTTGGAATTCTTTAAGCTTCTTGGATATGTAGATTAATGTTTCCATCCCATTGGTAAGTGTCCAGCCATTGTTTCCTCAAGTATCTTCTCTGTTCCTCTATCTCTCTCCTCTAGAACTCCCATCCCATGTGTGGATATGTTTGACAGTGTCCACAGGCCTCTGAGGCACTGTTCATTCTCCTCTAATCACTTTTAAAAAATGTGCTTGTGCCGGGCTCGGTGGCTCAGCCTGTAATCCCGCACCTTTGGGAGGCTGAGGTGAGTGGATTGCCTGAGCCCACGGGTTCGAGACCCACCTGGGCAACTTGGCGAGACCTCATCTCTACAGTAAATCAAAAATTAGCCGGGCGTGGTAACATGCGCCTGTAGTTCCAGCTACTTGGAAGGCTGAGGCGGAAGGATCGCCGGAGCCCAGCAGGTCGAGGCTGCGTTGGCCGGGAGCGGCCACTGCACTCCAGTCTGGGCAACAGAGTAAGACTCCAACTCAAAAAAAAAAGTGCTTGCTTCAGATTGGATCATTTCTACTGATTTATCTTCAAGTTCCCAGATTCCTTCTTCTGCTATTTTGTATCCGCTATTGAAGCCCGCTAGTGAATTGTTCATTTCCAGTACTGAACTCTACCATCCTACAATGTCCCTTTGGCTCTTTTAAATAATTTTTATGTTCTTTACTGAAAATCTCTATTTGCTGACTCATGGTTACCATTCATTATTATCACTTTAATTCTTTAAATATAGTTTCTTTTAGTTCTTTGAACCACAATTATATTAGTTATTCTGAAGTTATTCTTTGCTAAATTCATTATCTGGGAACACTCAGAGACAGTTTCTGTAGACTGTTCTCCCCAGAACATGAGTCACACATCCCATTCTTTGCAGTCTTGTCATCTTCTGCTGAGAAGTGGATATCTTAGATAACATGCTATAGCAACTCCGAAGCTGTTATTTTCCCCCCTCAAAGCTGGTGCTGTTGCCTCGTCTGCGTGTTCACTTTCATTTAGCGACATGCCTGGATACAACCTATGGAATCTGCTTCCTCTGTGGTGCACCGTCCCTGACGTCTCCATTCAGCTTCTTGTTTATTTAAGTTCTGCCGTGGGTCACCTATGAGCCTATCTAAACAAACTCATGTTTCAAGGAACAGAGATGGGAAATAGTAGATTCATTTATAGAGGCTTCCTACTCTTTTAAAATAAAAATCATTTACAATTTTAGAAAAATATTTCAATTCCCTGGTATATTTTCCAGATCTTCTCATACTTCGATGAAAAGACTCTCATTCCAGCTACTTCTCTGTGGTTTTCGTGTATGTGAATAACATCACTGGAAAAGAACAATACATTTTGCTCAGCTGACCTTCACCCTGTTCATTTTTCTTTGTTTTCAGTAAAGAAGAAATCAAGATGGAATGAAGATAAGATGTCTGAGGTCCAATTTTTCAAAGTTTTTCTTCCCTCTAAGATAACTGAGGAGGAAACACTTCTGTCTTGAGGCCAGTGTTTCTACATAGATGTCCAGCTACATTAAACTGATCCTTAATTTTCTTTTGGTTTCCCTGAACAAATTCAAAGTCATAGGACTCCAGAGATTGCTGAGCAGTGACAAAAATCACATATTCTTTCTACTTCATTTTTGTGCTTTTCTTTAGTTTCAGTTTTCTACATTGGTCACATTTGAAAGGAAAGACACAGCACAATAAAACCTAAATCTATCCACATTATTCTGTTAACACACACAAAAGCACCAGTGGTCCTCAATTAAGGTCAGAAAGTCTTTGCAAGAAACTGTCTAAAAATGGATTATGTAGCTGGGCATGGTGGCTCACGCCTAAATCCCAGCACTTTGGGAGGCTGAAGTGAGAGGTATGCCTGAGTCCATGGGTTCAAGACCCGCCTGAGCAACTTGGCGAGACCTCATCTCTACAATAAATCAAAAACTAGTCGGGCGTGGTAGCGCGCGCCTGTAGTTCCAGCTACTTGGAAGGCTGAGGCGGAAGGATCGCCAGAACCCAGCAGGTTGAGGCTGCGGTGGTCGGGAGCGGCCATTGCACTCCAGTCTGGGTGACAGAGTGAGACTCCAACTCAAAAAAAAAAAAAAAAAA